GGTAGTCAGTGATGGGTAAGATCCAATTGCAATGGTACCAACTTAAGATAACGGGTAAGGACCATATGTACTATTGGACAACCTAAGGCAGGCACGGTCCCTAAGCCACATGCTTGTTGTTTAAACAGAGAGGGGGATATTTTGAGAGCCACAGCTGAAGGGGCCCCAGCAAACTTTCAGACTGCCAGCTAATGATTGAATCACAGTGGTCCCAGTAAATTCTAGGTGATTGGCTCCTCTGCGGTGATGCTCATTGGGCTGTTTCCCTGCCCTTTCAGACTTCGGAGCTGCTCATTGGGGGACTTTTTTGGCTCCGCCCACGTGACCCCGCCAATCAACCTCAAGAGCAGGAGGAGTGGGGGAGGTTGAGAGGCTTGTGAGAAGCCGGTGGTGGCAGTTGGGCTCTGAAGGTTTTTTCCTGAGGAGCTTTTTTTGTTTGCCATGTGTGGTTCTAAAAATAAAGTTCGTTTCTTTTGACAAGTGGCTCTTGAATTGTGACCAGCCAGACTGCGACAACCTACCTGTGGTTAATTTAGGTTTACCTTGCTCTTCTTTCTCTGGTTTTCTGAAGTGGCAGTTTCATTGGTTGCTTTTAGCTCTTCTTTTCTGAAATATGTGTTGGATGACTTAGACACCACTACATCGCCACCTCCGGTGTTCTCTATGAATTTCCTATGATGGACTTTTACATTTTTTTCTTTCAAAATGGTCACCTTTTCTCTTGAGTCACCTCTTTGTCCTGTGTCTATTCAGAGCCCTGTGTTTCATGTCCCCTTCCCTGGAAGCTTTTCAGTTTTTTCTGATCTGATTTCTGGTTTAGCTCTCATGTTCTTTGAGCATGCATGGGATTTCACTGGAGGTGCACTTGTAGGGGTGTGGTTTATGTCCTGTAGAGTGTTGCTGTGACCCTGAGACCTCAGTGTGCTTCCTGTTTGGTTGAAGGTCCATGAAGCCCTCCTGTCTGTATCATTGTCCTGACAGATTTGGGCTGATGTCTCTGAGGATAATTGTGGGTTCTTCATTGTTTGGGGTGGTTCTGTATGGTTTCAGTCCTTGAGTATGCTTCTGTGTAAGTGGCAGGGACATTTTCTTTTTTTCTGTTCCTTCACTGTGCAGACATCATAGCATGCTTACAGATGTGAATGGTGGCCTCTTTCACATGCAGACTGTATGGGATAGTTCAGAATTCTGGGTTACAAACTTGTTGCTTTACCACACTGTGGAAGAGCTTCTGCCTTAGGTTTGTTTGCACCACCTTTGCTACAGGCACAAATAATCACTTTCACCACAGACAACCATTGCATATGTGGCCCAACCTTGATCAAAATGTACTTGAGCAGAACATTGGTATATGTCTCATGACTGTACATCATGGTAGTGAACTGGCTGCTGTTAAGAAAAGTTTGACAATCATTGGACATTCATTGTTACTGTGAGACTTAGAAAAATAACACCTGCTGTTTATTAAGAAGATTGTTTTGAGAGTTATAAAATTTGTAAAGCTGTTGTTTGGAGAAGGTGATATTTTTTTTTTCTTTAGAGAGAGGGGAGAATTTTTAAAAATATTTATGTTTTAGTATTCGGCGGACGCAACATCTTTGTTTGCATGTGGTGCTGAGGATTGAACCTGGGCCACACACATGCCACGCGAGCGCGTTACCGCTTGACCCACATTTCCAGCCTATGGTGACATTTTTGGGTCATAGAGTTACTTCTAAGACACGTGCCATCTTTCCACTTACCTCAATCTGCTTTGACAGTAACCACAAAAAATTATCAAATTGTTGTGTTTATTAATATATAAATTAAATTATTCAAATAGAGAACTCATGTTTGTTTTGGTCATTTAATAGTGAGGTAGTTGACTAAATTTGTTCTGGAGTAAAGCACCTGCAAACTTCTAGTTGTTCTTAGTGTAATCACACAGAATGAGCTCAATCTCCAGTTAACACATTGTGACCACCTGTGTGAAATGTTGTCCAAGTGTTGTCTATGAAAGAATCTCCTTAGTGACCCCATGCCCAGAGGGTGGGAGTGGGGGCTTGTTCTAGGCATTTCTTTAAGTATAGAACAATAGACCTTCAGAGGAAACAAGACATCAGTAAATACCATGTTGCCTATATTAACCTTGTAGGTACAGGGAGCCACTGTCGTTGACAGGATCTCTCTCAAATGCTTAGTTTCATGCTTCCTGCATTTTTCTACTCATCACCTTTCTTTTCTAAAGATAAGTACTATCAGAAGTGCTTATGTTAGCTCTGTACCACACAGGACATTTGTAGGACATGTAATAGAGGTGCAACCATTAAAAAAGTTAGGAGTGATCTGGGAGCCTGCCTTACTTCCTGTGAACTCACCAAAGGAAGGGTATAAATCACTATGATGTTTGCCTTCTGAGTAGCCAATTTTTAGTGTTGGAATGGGTGTAAGAAATTGAGTGCAGTAAAGATTTGATGTACCAAATCATGAAATTAATCAGGAGGCCAGGGAATAATGTGAACATCATGCATGTTGAGTGCAGATTTCTCATGCTTTCATTCTCTCCTGGCCTCCACTATACATTTGTGGGATATTTCAGATCTCAGAGACCTTTGAGGATGTGGCTGTGAACTTCACCAAGGCTTTTCTGGATGCTTCCCAGAAGAACCTTTACAGAGATGTGATGCGGAAAGTCCTCAGAAACCTGGCTTCTATAGGTAATAATGATGGTTTTAAATATTAATCAAATAGAGAACCTCATGTTTATTTTGGTCATTTATGTAGAAGGTGAAAAGGAAATCAGTTGGTGAATTATTGAAGTATAAATGGCACCTAAAATTTGGCAAAGCATTTCTAGGTCCTAAATATTCGTAAAGATTGTTATGTTGTCTCATTTTAGGAAACAAGTGGGAAGACAAGACCACTGAAGATCAGATTGAAAACTGTGGAAGCAACCTAAGGTAACTGTACTCACAAGAGGAATTTGTGAGGGAATCTGAGAACTGTCATATAATTTTTAATGCAAACCAACCAAAGAAGTATGCATAATTTGAAATGTATTTATTTTTATAATATTTTTTACCAGAAATATATACTTATCTGTAACAGGTATTCAGTCTTTTCAAAGTATTTGACATGCAAAAAGGACTATGAAATTGCATATGTGAATATGACTATGTGAATAATAGCCATAGAGAAGCTGTGTTGCAAAGAATTGTTTTCTTTCAATCTCTTTATTTTCAGGCAAATTTAACAAGTCAGAAAATCTAGCTTTTACTTGATGTTGGTAGAAATGTAAAGACCTATAAATAAATAGAAAACTGTGAATGAGTTAGGTATCAATTATGTGCTGGTCACTTCTTCTACAAAGAATTCCTATGGTAAACTTCAAACTTTCTTCACAGAATAGTGTGGGGAAACCTTCAAATTGATTTCAATTCTTTACCAAAGACAAATTTTAATAGAGTAAATTCATGTGACTTCATTATGTGTGCAAAAGATTTCATATGTCCTTCTTTCCTTCATAGGCACATCACATCTCACTCTGGACACAAATAATATAAGCATGAAGAATGTGAAGAGAAGCCATGTGAATTTAAACAATATAGGAAATCTCTGGTTTCTCTCAACATTTGTTCACACACAAATGTTGTTACAAACTGGAGATAGACCACATGAAAGTACAGTACGTGGGAAAGTCATCAGTTCTTCCAATGACATTTAAAGACATGAAGAAACTCATACTGGGTGGCAACCCTATGAAAGTCAACAATGTGGTGAAGCCTCTTTTTCTCTCCCAGGTGTTCAAAGACACATGATAACACACAGTGGAGGTAAACCTTTTCAATGTGAGGTATGTGGGAAAGCCTTTCATTTCTCCTCTTTATTTAGAAGACGTGAAAGAACTCATTCTGGAGAGAAATTCTATGAATGTAAACAAGATATTCGAACCTTTATTTCACAGACAAGTCTTCAAAAGCACAGGGTCACACACACAGGGAATGCACATTTCAAATGTAAGGTATGTGGGAAAGACTTTGCTTATCCCAGATTACTTAGAAAACATCAGAAAACACATACTGGAGGGAAGCCCTATGAATGTAAGCAGTGTGGCAAAGCCTTTGCTAGATCTGGTGACCTTCACATACATGAAAGAACTCACACTGGAGAGAGGCCCTATGAATGTAAGTGGTGTGGGAAAGCCTTCACTCAGTCCTCTCACCTTCACTCACATGAACAAACTCATACTGAAGAGAAGCCCTATGAATGTAAGCAGTGTGGCAAAGCCTTTGCTAGATCTGGTGACCTTCACAGACATGAAAGAACTCATAGTGGAGAGAAGCCCTATGTATGTAAGCAGTGTGGCAAAGCCTTTACTACATCCCGTCAGCTTCATGAACATGGAGGAACACATACTGGACAGAAGCCTTATGAATGTAAGCAGTGTAGAAAAGCCTTTGCTAGATCTAGTCACCTTCAGATTCATGGAAGAACACACACTGGAGAGAAGTCCTATGAATGTAAGCAGTGTGGAAAAGCCTTTGCTAGATATAGTCACCTTCAGATTCATGGAAGAACACACATTGAAGAGAAGCCCTATGAATGTAAGCAGTGTGGAAAAGCCTTTGCTACATCTAGTTGCCTTCAGATTCATGGAAGAACACATACTAAAAAGAAACCCTTTGGATGTCAACAATGTGGAAAAACATTTGCTTCATCCCGTTATCTTCACATACATGGAAGAATGCATACCAGAAAAAAGCCCTATGAATGTGTACAATGTGGAAAAGCCTTTACTTCTGCCTCTTACCTTCAGATACATAAACGGACTCATACTGGAGAGAGGTCCTATGAATGTAAGCAGTGTGGCAAAGCCTTTGCTAGATCTTGTGCCCTTAGCAGACATGAAAACACTCATACTGGAGAGAAGCCCTATGTATGCAAACAATGTGCAAAGCCTTCACTCAGTCCTCTTACCTTCACTCACATAAACAAACTCATACTTGAGAGAAGCCTGATGAATGTCAACAATGTGGAAAAGCCTACACTACTGCCTTTTACCTTCAGATGCATAAACACACTCATACTGGAGAGAAGCCCTAAGAATGTAGGCAGTGAGGCAAAGCCTTTGCAAGATCCAGTCACCTTAACAGACATGTAAGAATGTATACTGGAGAGATGCCCAATGAATGTCAACAACGTGGAGAAGACTTTGCCACATCTTGTCTGCTTCACACATGTGAAATAACACATACTGTATAGAAGTCATATGCATGAAAACAATTGGTAAACTCTTTTGTTATTAATGTTTCACTCATATACATGTAGAAAGTTTACTGGAGAAAAATCCTTTGAATGTGAAATATGGTAAATCACATTTCATATCATCCTCAAAGACAAGAGAGACTCACACAGCTGAAAATGTGTGTGTGTGTGTGTTTGTGTGTGTGTGTGTGTGTGTGTGTGTGTATGAATGTGTGTGTGTGTGAGAGAGAGTGATCCATCAATCAATCGATCCACTGGGGATTCAGCCTGGTGGTGCTCTACCACTGAGCTACATTCCAGTTCCGTTTTACTTTTTATTTTGAGACAGGGAGTAGCTGAGTTTCTTAGGGTCTTCCTAAGCAGCTGAGGCTAGCCTCCAACATTGATTCTTCAGAATCAGCCTCTCGAGTCTCAGGAATTAAAGGCATACACCAACACATCCAACTGAATAACTCTTTAAATGTGAAAAATGTCACAAATCATTCCCTTGTCCCTGTTGCCTTCAAAGCCATTTCACTCACATTGAAAAACAATCCCTCTGAATTTGGGGGATTTGCTACATTCTGTCAGCTTCATTTCCTTTCTTATATATGAAAACATTCATGCAGAGAAGCCCTGTGAATGTGAGAAATGTGGGAAATCTTCTAGTTTTCTCATTTTTTTCCTAAGGTCTGGGAATATTGTTTTGGAATAAAAAGAATAAATCCTATGCAAGTAAGAAATATAAAGGGTTCAGCTGTTCTAGTTTT